TCGCACTGCCTTTCACACGTATACCACTTATCAAAGTGATCCAAATTGAGTTTTTGTTGCAGAACTCCATTTTGGTAAAAACTTAGCTAAGATAACGGTTACTCCTGACAATAGTACATGTTTTCAGGGAAATTTCGTCTGTAGCCAGTTGATTGAACTTTCTGTTTCCTTTCACACCAAAATTATACAAATAAATATACAACTAAAAATACAAACCCGGTGATATAATCACACGTATTTCTATTTCGATTTATTGAAAGTATTTTCTTCTCTGTACCTATCACTATTGTATTTGCTGCAGTAAACATAATATCAATCAACATGTACTTCCTCTGGGTCGTTCTCATCAGTTTGAAAACATTCTGAAGTATTCATATCCCTAAAAACTTGCTTATTGTTTCTGATGAGTAGCTACAAAATATTATCACCGCACGAGCTCTTTAGAACTTAATTGAGAACATTGCAGAAGTTTCTATAACCGCAGTTTTTAATAAACGTAGAGAGAAAAAATAAATAAAAGTGAACAATCAAGCATTTAATAATCATATCTTATATGATTTTTTGTAAAAGTTGCTAATAATGTTTTGGTTAATAAAATACCCAATTAAAATTATATTTTACCTGTTCATCAGGGTTTTTATAAAAGGGAAGAGATGGCTTCCAATAAAATCGGCTGAGAAATTGCTACAATTCAGCTACAGAACAAAGCTGGAGGAGTGGGAATGGTGGTTTTCCACTAAAATGAATCAGATATTGAACAAACTTCTTCAGGACAAGCATTAAAGGACGTTAAAATTCCATTACAAAATGGTCGGATAGTACCCTAACCAACACAACTAAACGTAAGGTACAAAATAAAAGGGTACTACTCCATAAACTGGTGTTTGGGGCGTTAGTATCCCAAAATCTGGAATTTAACGAAGAAACGGCCGCACACAACCAAAATCACAGCGGAAAAGCAACAGTAAAATGGCGCTGGACGCGTCGGTACGCAATTAATGAAGGTATCTTGATAGGAAAGTAAACATAAAAAGAAGGTTAAAATGGATGGCCTTGAAGAAGGTATCTTGATAGAACCAAATGTCCCTATACTACAAGTACGTGTAAAGTCACAAGGTGGCGCGCTGGTTGTCAATGGGCAGATTGTAGGCAGAAACAAATCTGTCTACGAGGGACCAACAATATTTTATGAGGAAATTTCTCAGATAGAAGAAAGATTTCAATACAATATTGAGTCGCTGAGGATCACAGATGAAATACGTGTGAAATTCTACAATCAATAAACTATGAAATTTGACAAAAGAAAATCCTTAAAAAGGGTTTGGTCTAGGATTGGGCACTCCTCTATAATCAATAAGGAGAAATTCAAATTACTCATAAGTGATCAAAACAGTAAAAAGAACAGCGCGTATTCAGACTGTGAATAAAATTCCCACAAACAAGTCTTTGCCTAAGGTAAGAGTGAACAGAGATTTTTAATATTTTGATGACAAATGTGACAAAGTTGTATTTGAACATATCGGATATTTTTAACCACTTCATGGAAGCCATTGAGTAGGAAACGTGACCGTACGTTCTTAAATTGTTTATATAGTGGGAGCATGTATTTTTTTACCAAAAGCTTGATGAACGGTGGTTGTCAGTCTGTAGTTTTATTAATTTTTGAAATATTTCTATGTTGTTTCCGACAAAAATTAAAATAAAGCAGGAAAATTTCTTTTTCATAAGATTTCATGAAAATGTTGTATGAATGATCTCAGGGATGAAAAGGCAAATTTTGTTCAAACTGCGCTTAAACATATGTTAATACAATGTTTTCAACATATAAAAATTCCAGACATTTTTCTAATAAATTGTCACCAAACGGTAGTACCACCTTAAATTACTATGAATCTAGAACAATAAAACTTATGGTACTGAAGTTTTTTTTAATTTCAACCAATCTAAAACGCTCTGTTGCATCACTTTTCGGAGAAACCCAAATGTTATCTAGATGTCATATCACTTATATTTAATTCTCGCCAGTTTTTAACAGCCTGTTTCTCACAGGTGTGGAATACAGTCGTGGCATTTAAACATTGTTTGAAGATCTTTACTCCAGATAGTCTACCTCAGAAATGCCTACTTGCCCATTTGAGAAATAAAACTTTGTCGGCTTTTATTTTAAGTTTATGCAAGAGTCATTGTTGGACTGAGGTGTTCATAGCAACACATCAAGATCTAGGATAAGGCGCTTAAAACACATCAAATACACAAAAATGTTTCATACAAAAAAATGTACATTCTGTAACTAACAGCATAATATATTTATGCGTCAAGCAAACAGGATATAATCACGATCTTTGAAAAACCACTGGATGTTTTACGATTAGCAGTAAAATTTCTTCAACGATCATAGTGGCTAAGAACAGAGATATAAATATGTTTACAGCTTCGCTAATAATGCCATTTAAGGCTTACACTTCAGTTATTACTTATGACGATTTCGAACATTACGCGGTTCTCGACTCTTATCTAACACCTATTCAGATGTCTTAAGTAGACACCAATTAATTTTGAAAAGCTTTTATGGCTTTATAATAATCACCGCTATTTACGAATAAGATTTTCAATGGCTACGTCTTTGATGGTCATTGCTTGGTCTTAGCTGGCTTATCTCTTATCTCCGGCAATACACGTCAAGTGTTAATACCCTCAAGTACTTGCTATCTGTAGATTGTTGCCGTTTGAATACACTTGATTTGTTTGAAGAATAGATAGATAATGATCAGCATAACTTCAAACCTTAATTTAAAGCTGCTTGTGGTAACAGTTTTTCAATGACATTAGCCACAGCCCTATAAACACTTCCATAAAGCTTCTTCTTCCTCCTCTGAAAGTCAACATTCCTATAAAATTGTTCTATTAGCATTTGTAGGACCTGGAAAAACTTTATTCCCGTCCAATGACGTACAGTAATGGACAAAAGTATATAGAAAAATATGAATATTTATACTCTAGGCGCTGAAGAAAGAAACTAAACCCAAACAAATACACGCATATTGCTCGTGAGTGAGTGTTTAGGCGCAGGAGACATTACAGGACCGCATCAAGATATTATGGGTAGTCATCAAAAATGTCATACAAGATAATTATTATCTTTTACAGTAAATTTCAGTTAGAGATTCACAAATGAGTTAACTACACTTTTTAGTTATTAGTAAGTAAGCTGCGCGCACTCATTCAGAAGAGGAACTTGAATCTTCTGAATCGTTTAAATGAATTATTAGAGGTTCAATTTGGGTATCGATGACATTGTCCAAATCCCACATTTTGACCTCAACCTTCTCCCGAACGTGGCGGATACAGTTTTTCCATTCCTCTGCCGTAACTCTATTGACTTGATTTTTAACATCAGAAAATTTATAAGTATTATTATTCGACGCCACGTATTGCTTTATGTTGGCCCAAATCAGCTCAATAGGGTTCAGCTCACAATGGTAGGGTGGCAGTCTCAAGACAGTTTTATTTTGTTTTTTGGCCATTTCGTCGATCATTTTAAAATCGTATTTGTATTTATGTCTATTGACTATACTTATCAATTCACCCTTGACCATTGTTTCATCAAAATCGATCTGTTTTGAGGCCAGCCATTGTTGTATGTTTGCTTTTTTAGTTGCCATTGTGGGAATTTTTTCTATTTTTCTAGAATGGTACGGGGCATTATCCAGTACAATAACAGCGTTATTCTCCAGCTTTAGTAACATTTTGGAGAACCAATTTTCAAAGGAATTGCCGTCCATCTCCTCATGATAGTCCCCTGTCTTTTTTGATTCAAAGGCCCACAGTGCTTCGGGAACAAAGCCGTCTTCACTACCTACGTGACAAATGATCAGCCGTTTGCCTTTTCCTGGAAATAAATTATTCCTTACACTATGGATTGATTAAATTTGAAGGAATGAGGCAATTGAGTTCATTTAGCTGAATTTAAGAGTCACGGAATGCTGATCAAAAACTGAAAAACGTAGAAAATTGAAGTTTGCAACTTCTCAAAACCCATTTAAAGCAAATTGACTGCACCCAAAAATGATAATAAATTTCAAAATAACGCTTAAAAGAGGGTCGAAGTTTTTTTCCTAATGACTACACTGCGAATGCACCATTTTTGGAGAATATCACACATTATCTGCTATCACAGCATATTATTTGCCCGAATTTATCAAAATTAAATTGCCGGATAGATGAAGGAGCTTACCTGCAGGATTTTTCAATCCAGCCGAAAGACCGTCTAGAAAAGCCTGCCTTGATGATGTTACTGATTTGTCGACCCAAACTTTCGCTTGAGTATGTCCAGCATTCACCCACGTTTCGTCCAAATAGTAAATTTTTCTTTTTTCATCGCGAAACTTCCGAATCTTCTTAAGGTATTCCCTTCTCCACACAACAATTTCTTCTTTCTCTATTAACATACTGTTTCTTCCCCGTTTCAAGAATCGAAAATTAAGTTCCTTCAAAAGTTTTCGGAATGTGGTTCTTTTAAATGATGGAAGATCCTCATCAGCATTAACTAATCTTAATATCTTTTCTACTGTAGGTATCTCATTTCGGAAGAAAAAATTATGCACTTTCCTCCTGATGGCAGTTCTGTCAAAGTCATCTACTCCGTCCGTTATCCTTTTTCTTGCAGGATACGGTTTTGGCTCAGAAAGTGAGTGAGTGCTCCTATATTCCTTAATGATCCTATAAACACTGGACCGACATACTCCAGAAATATGTGCTACCTTACATATAACTTCGTCCACGACCAAATCGGGTTTTTCTTGAATTTGGTTTTTGTATATATTTAATATTATTTGTTTTTCATTTGCACTTAAATGTAGCTTCTTAGCCCTTTTTTTGGGTGGGGTTGCGCTGATGTCAACCACTTCGTCGGCTGTATCTGTGTCAGACATCGTATCTTAGGCAATATATAAACAAAACGTTCCACTCGCGAAAAACGAGTATACGCTACTGAATGCGTAATGCGTATGCAATGCAATCCTGTGCGTGAATTAACTGTTAGATGCCTGTCGTGTCATCTACAATCACGTTTACAAGTCCAAACCTGTGCAGATTCGTAGAGCGCCGACGACTGCTAGTGACCTTGAATTTGTCTGTAGATCGATGTTACTCCAGTCAATTTAGGTTCAAAGTGGATGTTTTCTAAACCAATTTGTTGTTCCTACATCAAAAATATATCGATGATGTTTTGTACTGGGAGCTCATGAAAGATCAAGGTAACTTATTTTAACAGTCATCCTTTTTCTAGTCTCGAGATGACACGAAAAAGGGTCTGTGGATTCACTAGAAATACACTGCCGAGGATGTTTAGACCTAAAGTGACTGGAGTATATCCGTGGATGCTTTCGAGGGATCTGTTCACGTGCTGATCACTGTTTACGTTTAATGTCTTTCTTCAGCGCCCAGAGTTTAGCTAAATACCTTTAGAAAACGAATTCATACTTCATTGCTCCATAAACAAATGCGTTATTAGTAGAAAAACTAAATTCCTTGTTTTTACATTATCTGCAATGAAAACAATACAAGTCTGAACATAAGCACTTTTTTATTACTGACAAAAATATGTAGACAAATTCTTTTCATTAGTTTAGTACAGTTTCGTGTCAGAAGAGGATTAGTTTGTGTTCATCAAGTATTGTGGAATAAGTTGAGTGATTTTAAGACCATGCCGCCAAAATTAAGCTGTGTCAAAGTCTAGTTGTTCCTAAAATGTTATATCGTTTATCCATCTATTACCATTATCTGACGTCTATTAACGCAAAACGTTTGCAGATAATGCAGAATACCTGTGAAAGGTTTATCGAATACCTAAGAAAATTCGATCATGTATTACATTTGTATCGCACTCTGGCATGCCTAAACGTTCAAAACCTTTTAAAATACTCCATTCTAAGCTTTACTCACAGGATCGTGCTAACATCATCCCCTCAATACCTCAGTTGTAAACTTGTTCCAAAGGCGTCTGTCTCTTCAGACTATCTTTCACTTACAGTGCAATTTTACCTTACAACAGCGTAGGCCAGGATATAAAGACTATCCCGTCTTCCCGGGGCTTCAAAAGACAGTTAAAAAGATATTTACAAGAATTGCAGAACAACCGCTAGCTTAAAAAGTTCTTTCGTTTTCATACTATCTATTCTTGATCCGAGTTATTTTTCAGTTTCTTCATAAACTATTATCTTTTCTTTTTATAACTGGGCCGGCATTACTCATTTTATTGTATTTTGACTTAATCCATGTATTTTCACTTTTTTGTTTCTGTAGAATTCTTTTTTTCAAGTTACCCTTGTACGGGATTAGATGGTGTAATACGAGGGATGTCTATTAAGTTTTGCATATAGAAACATAGTAGGCCGCGCGGATCGAACGTCAGTACTGAATCTTAACCTCACTCTTTAGTAAACTTAAGTTCAAAGTTTCACAACAATACGTGCAGTGTTCTCACTACAGTGAATTTTTAAGTGTCACCAAGTCATTAGAAAAATGGAACTCGACCGAGAACATTTTCGCGCCATAATTTATTAAAACTTTCAGAGACAATTATCCCAACCAGAATGCCTTGCTGACTTTTCGTTAGTATGAAGAATTCAAATTCAATTCTGGAAACTCAAAAAATGTGTACAGCATTGTTAGTGGTGATGAATCGTGGATTTACTGTTATGAACCAGAATTTAAATGACAGTCGGCTGATGGGGTGTTCCAAGGTGAAGAAAAGCCAACAAAAGTCATCCGTTCTCGAAGTGTTTCGAAAAAGGTGGTCGCGACATTTGTGTCAAAAGCAAAATTGCAACAATTCCTCTTAATGAGCAAAGAACTGTTACTGCGGATTGTTATACCACCATTTGTTTGCCAAAAGTCATCACCGAGCTTCGAAAAATCAACCCCGAAAGAAGAATCATCCTCCACCAAGACAATGCATGCTCGCACACAGCCCAAAAAACAAGGCAGTATTTAACGAAAGAAAATGTGGAATTATTGGACCATCCTCCATATAGTCCCGATCTAAGTCCTAACGATTTCTGACTTTCCCGAAAATTAAAAACAGACTGCGTGGTCAAAGGTTCCAGTCTCCAGAAGAAGCAGTTGCCGCATTCAAAAATGTCGTTTTGGATCTGCTAGCAAACGAGTGGAATAAGTGCTTCGAAAATTGGTTCGAGCGCATGCAGATGTGTATTAATCTTCGTGGAGAATACTTCGGAAAAACAATAAAGTCATTTAAAACTACCTACCGTGTTGTTCTATTTACTTAAAAGACATCCCTCGTAGCAGGTGCTAAATCTTCCCCCATGTAATGCACCATGTTTTGGTCAATAAAGACGATGATTATCATTATATTTCTTAGCCATAATAATGTCGATGATTTCGAAGAGTTCAAGCTCCACTGTACCAGCTCGTCACAGATTTTCTTCATTCCTCATATGATCAACCCATTTATTCGATATCAATTTTCGAAACTTCAAGAGAAAGTTGTTCAAAAAGTGGAATAATTTGATCTCAAAAATTCAAACGTATAATTCCGTAAAGATAAGCCTAAGCATGATGTAAAGTTTGGATCAAACGAATCTTTAAAAAATGGAAACAAGCCTTCTATTTCAGCTATTGAAAATGCAATCTTGTTTAGGTACAGAATATACCGCTCATGTGAGCATCTCGAGGAGACGGTTCACTTATGGCACCTATGATCGACCGTATGCGATAAACTAACAAGATATCATTTGAGTTAAATTCCCAATGTCTCCTAGGACGATAATTAACATAGCTGTCAATTCCGAGCATATCCTCGATCTCCGTGAAAACCAAAAAGGAGATGGAGGTGAAAAAGCGGCACCTGACGCATCCTAAAGTGGTATAAGTGGGCGGCGGGCTCTCACTAACAAGCTCCGCGTAAACACGACACACTCGAGAACAAAATTAAATGAGGTGATCTAAGATAACGCAACAGCGGTCCACACCATGCCACGGTCGCGTCTCCACTTGTTAGTGTCTCTCCTGCGATTTTAGGACCATGTTGCCAAGTTAACAAATTGAAACCCCGTATTAGCCCAAAGGCGGATCCTTGTAGGACTACTATAGTCTAGCTCTATACCATGCTAGGATCGGATCTCTGCTTATTAGTATCCATTGAGACGTTAAAATCATGTTGCCAAGTTAAGAAATTGGAACCCGGTTTGGCTCAAAGGCAGATCCTTGTTGGACTATCGTGATCTTTGATAACGCCGCAAAGCTGTATAACATGCTAGGGTAGCATCTCCGCTTGATGGTGTCCCTTGTGACTTTAGAACCATGTTGCCAAGCTAAGAAATTGGAACCCGGTTTTGGCCCCGAGACAGATCCTTGTGGAAGATAACGCCGCTAAGATCCATGTCATGCTCATAGTCACCTATCGGCTTGTTAGTGTTTCCTGTCATTTTCGGGCAACGTTGCTAAGTCAACAAATTGAAACCTCGTATTGGTCCAAAGGAGGATCCTTGTAGGACTACGACAGTGGTCTATGATAACACCACAAGGTCCATACCATGCTAGGGTCGTATCTCCGCTTATTATGTCCCTTGTGATTTTAGAACCATGTTTCCTAGTTAAGAAATTGGAACCCGGTTTTGGCCCCAATGTGGAACACCTATACAAATAACCTGCTATTGGCAGAATTAGAATGGTTTTGGAACAGTTTCCTATATGAACCGAATAAAGCTAATAATGGCTCAAAAGGAGATCTAATCAGATAGCGCAGCAGCGGTTTATGCTCTGGTAAGTTGAAAAGATAACATCAATGATCGAAGATTCCTTATAGAACCCCCACCACACTGGCTTCTAAAACTTATCAAGTCCTTTCTCGAAGGAAGGAAATTTCGAATCAAAATTAACAATGTACTGTCAACAACACGGCCTATAAGGGCCGGAGTTCCTCAGGGTTCCGTCCTTGGATCAATCCATTATTCTACGTTTATTAACGACGTCCCTAACCGCCAGCAACTATGAAGTCTATCTTTTCGCTGATGACACTGTATTAGTAGCCCAGTCCTGTTCTGGTAATCTGGTCCATGACTGAAGAAGTGTTAGAGTGGGCAGATCGGTGGCTGATCAAAATTAGCCATTCAAAATCGCAGGCCATCTACTGTGGATGGGACTCTGATACCGTTGGAAAATTCCGTCAGATACCTTGACAAGGGTATGATTTGGCAGAAACACACAGAAACGCTTAAAACTAAATTACAAATTTCTAAACTTAAGAATTAAGTTTGATTAACAAAAAAAGGCTTTACAAAATGATAGTCAGGCCCACCATTATGTACGCATGTGCACCTTGGTGCTTTCTAGCGAAGACCCACATGTGAGCTCTGCAGGCCCTGCAAAATAGTAGCTTTCGAACCATGACCAACTCCCCTCAAACGAGACCCTACACAAAGATCTCGACATCCCTTATTTAGAGGATTACATTAAACATCAGACGCAGCGACGTTATGAATAAGCAGAATCGCATTGTAACCCTTTGTTGCGTGAGCCGGTAGACTATACAGTGGAGCATTCAAGGCCGCGGCTCGTAGTTTGAACAAAATTCAATAGCACAATTACGTATAATATAAAACAACATTTTAACGAAACTGCAACCAAATTCTTTTTCTGCATTCAAAATCATTACAGTGATTTTCAACAACGCTCAGACGTTTTTTCTGACAATTGTATTTCATACTCCTTGCTCTCCATCTTTTTTCTTCTTTTCTTTCATGTCACAAACCGACTGACATACTTTAACACAAAGTCAAAAGGTCCTACTTATCGTCTTCGCAGACAATGAGGAATGGTTTCTCTCACCACAGATTATGGATAGGGAGAGAAGTGACAGTCGGAAAACTGCAGCCACACACAAAGAACGGCTGTGAGGGCGTTGGACAAAATCAAATAAGGAAACAAGTTGGAAGCGGTAAAATAGTTTGACAAAAAAATGGTGAAGATAGGTGAAAGGCGGATCTACAACATACCAAAAAATGACCCTGGTAAAAGTTTTACTCTAATTGAGATACTTATTATTTTTTTTGTCTTTTCCGGAAATTTTCCTCGTTTAATCTATATTTTGATGCTGTGTCTAGAAATAACATTTTTCAAGAACGGTAGTACCATTTTACCTTTCTGAAGTCCTGATTAAGCAGGTAATTTATCGCAGTACTTTGCAGTAGCAGTCTAGTACATAGTTTTCTAAAATAAAAATTACGAATAAGAAATTGGATCTTCAAGTTCACCTACTTGTATTTATCGAAAATGATATTATAAATGGCAGACCAACTATCTGATAATATTTTGCAAAAATAAACAAACAGATATCTTGTTATTGATAGACACAGCAACAAAAGATAGATTTAGGCCCAATTACAGCAACAACAGTCCGTTATTCTCCACCTATAGGGTAACAGCCCGTCAAATACAGCGAATGAGCTTCAAGTTCCAATCAACAAATTTTAGCAACCAATAGCTATGAAATGTTGAAAACAAAATACTGTCAAAGTATGAGATGACATCTTGTCATTGAAACATCATCAGCTTATTGAATATTAAGAAATTACATATAATTCAGTCAAAATTTAAACAAATGTTTGATTTTTGATTAAAATTCATGATTTAATTACTATTGTTGATTTTTTATTCATGTCTATATTATTTTCTTCAATTGATATGCGATTTTACTGATTCAAGATCATCTACTGGGTGTTTTTTCCTATAAACCTCTTGCAGATAGCCATTAAGCACCTACTTGATGACTGGCTCTACCAAAAAGTGCATAGATATTGCTCGTTTCCAAACATTCATTCATTTACTTGCCGTTCATCAGAACCATTATGGCACCTTAGATTGATATTCCCACAAAACCATTCTGTTTTTTTAATATCCATACATCCATAAAGTTGAATATTTTTCGTTGTTCAGGAACTTAACAAACATCCACACTATATTCACAGCGATTAAGAAATACCCAAATATATGTCATAGAGCCACCAGCAAACCTAAAACCTGCAGAAAAATTTTTCTTTTTTCACTGAGTACATATTCTGGGTTATATTTATATTAGACGTTATTTGAATCACAAAACATATACACTGAAAACAGCTGATTATCTCCTGATATTTTAAAACTAACCATATCGACAAGTGGCACATAATTCTGTGGGATCCGTCACCACTTCGTCCCAGTGGAGCAAACTCTGCCAACTGTCGAAATAAACTTTATTAATTCCAAGTCTTATTTTTGTTTTACTGTGCCTGCTTAGATATTCAAATACGGCCAGGAATTATTAGCGCCTGGCTATTGTAGGCCTTCAATAACTCTTTATTTTAGATCTCTCCTTATTTTGTTTTTTCCACGCATTCATGATAGAAAGAAAAATATTTTATCGAATATCGATACCGTATACCGTGCAGCAGGCACGCCCATCACTACTTTGACAGATTGCAGAATGATGTCAAGGTGACAATCGTTATGTGGCACTTGTTTTTGTTTTTGTCTGAAATAGGTAAGTAGGCTTTGTGTATTCATTTTCATTTTTATAGCGTTTCCAGAATTTCATATTTCGAAACGATGTCAAGGGCCGGCAGGGGAAAATCTTTCTCTGAGAACTTAAAATCATTAAACGCGATGTTTTCAGTCTATTTTATTCTATCCCTTGGGGAAGTACAGAATGAAGAAAAGACTACAGTGCTCAGTGGCCACTCAGTGGCTCAGTGCTCGTTGTAATGATAATATTCAAATACTACTAAACACCTAAATAGCTTTCTGGCCTTTCAAATTCGAAGCTACCAGTCCTCGCTTAGAGATGGTAGCACAGTTAAGGATAAACTCGGGGTATACGGTTACGGATGTTTTTGATTCCTCTCGATATCGATATCGTCATGAAACCATCGATGCGTAAAGATCGATGTTCTACGTCCGATGTATCGATGTTTTCGATACATCAATGTATCGTCTATCGTCGCCATCCCTATATTGTATCCCCACCAGTCACCAGTGAAAAACCTTAACCACCAATATTTTATCACTATTTATAATTCTTTTTAGCTCTTATTTTTCAGTAATTACTAATAATTTTAGGTCTATGTCTACAGTAACTGCATTATGCACCTCGGAGATGTAGGGATTGACATGTTTTACACACATCGGTGTTTTAGGATGGGGACGACCAGACTGTTTTGATTGCTTTGAAGAAATTCATTAACCCATGAATTTATAACAGATGATTACTATTATGATGTAAAGAGAGATGAGGAATTGGTTGGAATACA